TATTCTCCATATACCACCGCACGGACCAACGCCAACGTCCGATGAGCGACAGAACGACGCACAATACACCCACCGATAAGCCCACCTTAGTCAACTGAAATACTGGAGAAGCCTACCCCTAACTCACCTCAAAAAATCATAGCCTGAAGATCGCACCCTGACGCTGTGAGGGGTTGTGCATTACTAACAAACACCCACCACTCAGCAGCAAGCCGGTAGTAGACGAGTAAGTAGCAGACACCCACCTATCTACCTCCAGCAGCATATGTAACAGGTTATTAACTAGATCGCATTGATCCAGAGATTCTATCTAAGCATACACTCGAGGCATAAACGTCATAAAGTACACAAGCACAGCCATACATCCCATCATCTGCCGCCTCAGTCCATTAATGAGAGGCCCTACTGAAGTATAGCGAGCCGTTGCTCTACACGAGGGTTGCTCTCTAAACCGCTGCCAGTCCTAAGACAATCCGTCTGAAACCGTGTGAGGGTAAAACGTTTTATGTGTAGTAGAGACTTATAATCAACGGTATGCGTCTGTGACCCTGCACCTTGCTGCTGCTGACAGCCGTCAGCGCTCAGCGCCCGCCCTCCCGCCGCCTGCGTGTTACTGCTAAGCTTGCTGCTCCCTCGACGGCACCCCCCGCTTCGCCTCCCCATGCCCCGCCTCGCACCTCACCACTTCCCGGAGGCGCCTGGCCTCACAACTGTTGAACTTGCGAACAGGGCCTGCCCTACCCATCGCTAGTTACTGTAGCTGGCCCCGCCCCCGCGCTAGCTGCGCAACCCACCGAGCTCACAGGAGCCTGACACAGACTCCCCCCGCTCCACTGCGCTACTACTGCAAATGCCTGCTGTTGCTGCGGCCCACACCTTCCACACCATCACATAAACTCACCTAGATATGATTTTCGCGCGTCTACGCCACACACCACCGCCAATGTTCCTCTGCTGACTGCGTATTAGAGCCACCCGCCATAACCAACATCCTCCCTAAGAACTATAACAGTGTTTTACGCGTGCTGGCGCTGAACAGACCAGCACCCCCACCCCCTCGCGTCCTCTGCTATAAATGTTTGTGCGCGCTGCCCTGCCCCCCGCCCCCGCCCCAGACATCAACCAGCAAGCTCTCATCCCTCTCACTGGGATAGCCCCTGCCCGCGCCTCCACCGCTCTCGCCCCCCCCCACCCCCCCCGCCACCGTGAGACACCCAATCGGCCAGCACCACTAGCAGCGCGGCCACCACTACCAACCCACGAAGAGCACATACTACGCCCCAGCACACACTCCACATTGAGCTCTCCTCTCTCAGCACGCGCGCTCGATCGCACAGTGACGTGATGCCTCGAAGCGGTAGTCCCGAGCCATCAGAAGCGCTGAAGCATCGAGGTTGCGCACACGCGTGTGCTTGGAGTTTGTGGCTCCCGCGCGTGTGTGCGGCGTGCCGCGGGCTGTTCGGCGTGGCGTGTGTTGGTCGGCGTGTGTGTGCGTGCGTGTGCTTGCGTGTGTGGTCGCTGCGCGTGGGTGCGTGCGTGTTCTAGCTGCGTGTACGCTGCGGTGTGGGTGGTCGGCGCGGACGGAGGGTCCTAAATGTTGCGCGATCGCATCTGCGTGTACCGCGTGTGGGTGCGTGCCGTGGTCGCGGGCGTGTGCGTCGTGCCTGCGTGTCACCCAGGAGTTATCGTTAATGGTCGGTTACGCTAAACCCGCCGTGTGTGCCTGGTGTGGTCGCCGTGGTTGTGCGCCGCCGCCGGCGGTCGTGTCCCGCTCCTCTTTCGCCTGCTGCGTGCTCCCTCTTCTCGCTCTGCTCGCGTGTCGCCGCACCTTCTTACCACGCGCTTGCTCCCCCGCAACCTCAATCACGTCTCGATCCGACGAGTGCACACTCTCACTTAGTCGGTATCCATCTTCCGGGTCTCCCTTCAGTGCCCGGACTCTCTCTACTTACGACTTTCTCTCCCCTCTCGCTCACCCGATCGTTTAATTTTCGACTCTTCTCTATTTGCATTGTATCATTGACGTTTGGCATTAGCGTTAAGCACTGCCGCACAGATAAACACCGCAGTAAAGAGCGCTGGACGCATCCGATACAAACACCGGCCCGCCTGTCGCTCTCTACCAATCTCGCTTAGCAGAGGCGGCCCCAAGGCCCGCACAACTACGTGTGCCGCACGCACACACGCATGCCCACCGAGGCTGCTGGCCTGCATTCACAATCGACTGCTGTTACGCAAGCGGCGGGCAATGCAGATTTGCTTATATCGAAAGGGCAGAGATGTTAATGGTAGCGTTAATGGACCGATGCTATTGTGATTACCTTGTAATCGTTGAATGATGCGGACCATCCGCAGTGTATTGAATGTCCGAAAACAAGGCGGGCGACGAGAGAGAGAGCGATAGAAGAGAGAGACAGAGGAAGAGGCAGAGAGAGAGGACCGAGAGAGAGAGAGAGAAAAGAGAGATGAGAGAGGAGAGACGAGGGATGAGAGAGAGCGAGATAGAGAGAACGCTGGATATCGAAGCGCACGTCGGCGAGAGAGAGCGGAGAGAGAGCAAGAGCACGAGAGAGGGAGAGGAATAAAGCTCGACTCGGCAGCGAGAGCGAGAGAAGGGCGAGCAGGAGGCAGGTTAGAGAGAGGAGGAGGAGGATCATGCTGCAGTCGTGCCGCGAGAGAATGAAGAGCGGCGCGGCGATGACGACAGAGATAGCCCACACCAGACAGATCTTCACAACCACCTGTGTAGAGAGAGAAGCTTGTTAGAGAGGGAGAGAGAGATAGAGAGAGGAGGAGGAGGATCATGCTGCGGTCGTGCCGCGAGAGAATGAAGAGCGGGGCGGCGATGACGACAGAGATAGCCCACACCAGACAGATCTTCACAACCACCTGTGTAGAGAGAGAAGCTTGTTAGAGAGGGAGAGAGAGATAGAGAGATGAGGAGGAGGATCATGCTGCGGTCGTGCCGCGAGA